TTCCACCCCGTCCTCTGCCTTTGCCGGCCGCCTGATCCTTCCATGCTCTTCCCTGATCTCGCCTCTTTCCCCACTGTCGCTGACCTGGCCATGCACCTGCGCACGCTCGACGCTAGCTAGCGCGCTGCCTACACTGAGACCCAGCTTTGTGTGTTCCAGCCCCCTATCTGCTCTACCCTATACCTGCTTGCCACCCGCCTCCCTGATCGCCTTGCCACTGCCCGCGACCATTTCTTAGTCTGCACCCCACTGACCTCACCCTCTCTGACTTTGTCGACACCCTATCTGCCATAGAGACCCGTCAGCGCTCTATCGCCCAGTCTAGCGGTACTGCGCCGGTCCCTATCATTCAAGGTTGTGCCCTCCCTCAGTGCACTTACTCTAACGGTTCTGCGGCTATCGCTCAGACAGCCCCTGCTGCTAAGACCGCTGCCGCGGTGGCCACAGCGCATTCCCATTATTGGTAAGGCCCGCTACTTCAAGGCTGGGCGCGGCGGTGGTAGTGGAGGAGGGGGTGGAGGTGGTGGTGGAGGTGGTTCATCCGCTGGTGGTATTACCGACGAGGGGGCTGGGGCTGGTGCCTCGGAGCAGCAGCCCCAGCGAGAAAAAGTAGCATGCGCCACAGCTTGACCAGCCGCAGCAGCAGCAGCAGTTGCAACGGAGGGTTGGCTGCCTCCCGCCTGGGTGGCCTGGCGTTGGTGGTGGTGGTGGTGGTCGCGGTGGTCGTGCGCGTAGCTTGTCGTCGAGTGGTGGTGTGAGTGACGAGCGCTGCCAGTACCAGCTCCAGACCGGTCCTCGCCGCGGCCTCGTGTGCGGTAAGATCGGTCATACCCCTAGTCGTTGTTTCAGTCGCCTGGACGACCTGTTTCGTCTCCGCTTCGTCCCCGTGCCGGACCTTCTCGACTGACAAAGTCTGCTCCGCCGTGGTGTTAGGATATTTGATATGGACATGGATGAGGGAGGGGGGGCGCGGGAGGCGAGGGAGGTGTAGGAGGTGCAGGTGGCGCAGGTGGAGCGGGAGGAGCAGGTGGTGCAGGTGGTGCCGGGGGAATCGACAAGAATGGACGGAGTAGGAACTGATTGCTGGAGGGAGGACGATGGGTGCGCAATACAGAGAGGCCGCTAAACGTACGCGCTGCCATGGCAGCACCTGAAAGGGAGATTACTAGTCGAGGGACTAGTGTCCGAGGCTCTGCTAGAGAGCCCGAGCATCGTGACGGGTTTTGTGTCGAGAAACGAAAGCATAACTGAAAAAGAACGCTGCGGCAAGATAGGGATGAATAAGAAACGTGCTTGGAGCCCAAACGCGGAGGGCGCACGATCTTTCGCAAACCGGAAACACCATCGCATGCCAGGTTCGATATGTTCGTATGGAAGAATGACTAGAATAGGAGGGTACAAGGCAATATAGACTAGTGTGTTGTAGCCTCTAAGGTACAAACCTGTATAGTCTATAGTAACAAACTAAATTATGTTTGACACACCAGTAGACTATATAGGGGCAATGCCTAACAAGAGAACAAGCAGCTCAGGGTGGCACTACTAGTCCAGCCTCTGAGGCAAGGGTCTAAAGACCAGTCAAAAGGAGTACAGACAAGACAAGAGCAAGACCAGGGGGGCACTACATATAGTCCAGCCACTGGAAGAGGCCACAAGCCAGTCTGGGTAATACATATATATAATGTATGTACACAGTCAAGGTCCTAGCAAGTGCGAGGCAACAGGAACCAGACCAAGCTGTACAGAGTGCCGCTGATGATCTTTAGGCGGCAAGCGCCTTTGTAAAGCTATCAGCTGTGTTGGCACCGGAGGCCAAGTGTACTACACGAGCCTGGCAACGCTGCTGCAGCTCGCACAGGAGGAAGTACCGCAGCTGGATATGCTTCGCTCTGCCCTCAAGTCGAGGCTCCTGACACAGAAGGATCATGCCCTGTTGTCAGCGTACAGGACTGGGGCAGAGCTAGGCCGCTCACTAAGTCAGTGAGCAAGAAGGTCAGCCAGCGGAGCTCCTGTGCCGCCATGGCACCGGCGTAGATCTCGGCCTCACACCTAGACTGCGCAATAAACGAAGAGCGAGTAGCTCTCCACGAGACAGCACCTGAGCCAAGATTAAAGCAGTAGCCCTATGAGGACCTAAGGGTCTCGGCGTCGTCTGCCCAAGAAGCGTCTGTGTGTCCAGTAAGGACCACTAGCCTGCGTCTCCCAGCACTAACCCCAAGCCTGATGTACTCGCGAGATAACGCAAAACCCTCTTAGTTGCAGACCAGTGCTGAGGTATGTGTCTGCCTGTGGCCACAAACCGAGCCAGGATTCTGAAAGGGTATGCCAGATCTGGACGAGTGCAAGTCATCAGGTACATGAGGCAACCCACCAGCTCTGCGTAAGGACCACTGGGGCTCTGCTGACTCCTCAGGACTGGAGCAGAGAGCATGTGATCTACTGGAAGAGGTGTGGGCTGTGCGGAGGAGAATTGAAGACCGAACCTCTAAAGGACCTGCCGCACCAAGTGTGACTGGGTGAGAGTGATGGTGCGCGCTGCTCTGTCTCTGGAGATCTGCAGGCCCAGGTAGTGGCGCAGCTCTCCCTAGGTCAGTGCAGGTGTGTCTCCTCAGCAGCTCAGCCTTCACAAAGGCCAGCACGGTGGTGTCTGCAGTGGCAAAGACCAGATCGTCTACGTAAACAAGGATATAGAATGAAGTCTGGCCAGAACGAACAAAGAGCAAGGGTCTACGGAGGACGCAGAGAACTGCAGGTCAGCAAGGGTAGCACGCAGCGTGTCATGCCACTCGCGGGGCGCCTGGCGCAAGCCGTATGTAGGGCGCCGTAGGAGCCACTGAGTCCCAGGAGGGAAGGTACCAATGAAACCCTGAGGTCGGCGCAGGTAGACCTGTTCGTGTAGACTGCCCTGAAGAAACGCAGTGGAGAATTCGAACGAGTGTAACTCGTAGTCGCACTGTGCAGCTACGTATAGAAGTGCCCGAAGAGTAGTCATCTTCGAGGTCGGGGCGAAATTCTGAAAGAAGTCCACCCCCTCACGCTGACCGAAGCTCTAGCCACGTAGCGCGCCTTGAACATAGGCGACTCTCCAGGAGGGCGCCTCACCTTGAAGAGCCAGCGGTCATCGACTACGTTCACCCCAGGTGGGGGAACTGCGTCGACGTAGGTGCCGGTGGATCTCCAAGATTCCATCTCCTGCTCCATGACAGCTATCCACTGAGAGGCCCAAGGTCCCGAGGTGGCCTCAACGTAAGTGCGAGGGTCGGGATGTCGAAAGCGTCTGGGTCACCCTTAGGGACTAACAGCATGGAACAGAGATGGGGAGCAGCCTCGGACAGGAAAGCAAGCTCGTACTGGCTGTCCTCCAGGACGTCACTGACGAGGGCAGGAGCACCCCCGACAAACGGAGGACAGGCAGGGTCAGAGACCAGAGCGGTGGCGTAGTCAAGGCGGTGGGTAGAGGCAAAGTCAGCTACCGCAACGACAAGAGCGTCAAGACACGAGACCGGAACAGACGGGTCGGTAACGAGAGAGGCAAGGACCCGAGGAACAAGCGGACGAGCGGCGCAAAGGTAGTGAGACAGAGGGGGGGGCCGCAACAATAAGGGAGGATGGAGGAGGCGACGATAGGAGGGTAGGACGAGACGCGTGGGAACAAAGCAACATAGGGTGAGAGCGCGGGGAGAGGGGAGACGGGGCGAGCACGGGAGAGACGGCGAGACCAGACGTGAGACGGAGGAGTCTTTTCAGGAGACAGAGGAGGGGACACAGGAGGGGAACGATGGGGAAGACGAGCCGGAGTCGAGTCCGGGGGAGGGAACACAGGGCCGTAGACAGGGAGAGGAGGAGACGACAGGCGCGACGCAGACGCCGGGTCAAGGGACGGAAGTCCGAGCAGGCGAAGGCTGACACCGGCGGTGACTGCTGCTGCGGCGGCACGGCACCGACTCCGGGACCGCAAGCTGCTCCACGGCTACCTCCGGAACACTCCACTCTAGCACCCCCAAAAGGAACACCCCCAGAGCCCAAAACCCCTCGAGCACCGGTACCACCCCCAAGCCCGCCAGGACAAGCCACAACAGGAACCCCAGGACGAGTACCCACCCCAACACCCCAACAGCAGCTGCGGTGCAGTGGATGCAGTGCAGTACAGTGCAGTGCAGTGCGGTGCAGTACGGTACAGTGCGGTGCAGTGCGGTACAGTGCGGTGCAGCGTAGTCGGATGCAGCGCAGTCGCGCGGGCCGGGGACGGGGCGGGCACGGGGCCAGCAAACGGATGGGCGCGTGGCTGGTGACGGACGGGCGCGGGGGCCGGTGACGGACGGGGGCGGAGTGGGGGGGCTGGTCGACGGGGCCGCGGGGCCGCTAGGGGACGGGGCCGCGGGGCCGCTGGTCGACGGGGCCGAGGGGCCGCTAGGGGACGGGGCCACTAGGGAACGGGGCCGCGGGGCGGCTGGTCAACGGGGCCGAGGGGCTGCTAGGGGACGTGGCCACTAGGCCGCTAAAGGACGGGGCCACTAGGGGACGGGACGGCAAGGGAACAGGGCCGCAGGGCGGCTGGTCGACGGGGCCGAGGGGCCGCTAGGGACGGGGCCGCGGGGCCGCTGGTCGACGGGGCCGAGGGGCCGCTAGGGGACGGGTCCGCGGGGCCGCTGGTCGACGGGGCCGAGGAGCCGCTAGGGGACGGGGCCACTACGGAACGGGGCCGCTACGAATACGCGGTTACTGACAAGATGGACACCCAAATGTGTGGCCGCTTACATACCACGTTTGCTTGGTGGAGCTCGTGGTGCACTAGCAGTTTCATACTCTCAGTCATTGCCAAAACCGCTACGAATACGCGGTTACTGGATGCCATGGAAACTCGGGCCGCCGCCGGCCTTTCACGATCGCAACCATGCCGGCGCACGCATCCACGAAGCATTCACGCGTACGGCCATCCTTGAACTCACCGAGACCAGCGCGGCCATCCAAATTCCTGCGGCGAAACTGAGACGCATAAGCCCACTCAACGTGGTCGAGCAGAAAGACAAGTGTCGCATGATTCTGGATCTCCAAAAGGTGAACGACGCACTAATCATCCCCAAATTTAAATATGAGGGACTCAACTGTGTAGCAGACCTCGCTTGCCAAGGAGACTGGATGTTCTCCATCGATTTGAAATCAGGCTATCACCATGTCGACATCCATCCCTCGTGTTGGACGTTCCTCGGCTTTGAATTCGACGGGCGCACATACGCCTTTCGATCCTTGCCGTTTGGCCTCGCCACAGCACCATTCGTCTTCACGCAGCTCATCAAGCAATTAGCTCGGCGATGGCAGGAGCAGGGGGTCCGCGTGATACCCTACGTTGACGATATCCTCTTCTTGTGCCCGACCCTGGCACACGCTCCAGCCACGTGCCAACGGGTTGTTATCGATCTCAAGGCTGCCGGGCTCGTACTCAACTCAAAAAAGTCAAAGCTGATACCAACACAGCACCTTCGGTTCCTTGGCGTAGAACTCGACACACAGGCCGGCCGGTTCTCCATCGGTGAGGAGCGGCGAGCCACACTCAATGCCACCCTCCATGCTCTACTGCGCGCAAGCTCAGCCCAGCGGAAAGTCCCAGTCCGGCAACTGGCCCGAGTTACAGGCATGCTGGCATCGATGGCTGTCGCACTCAGCACCACTACCCGAGCGTTCAGCCACGCCATGCTAGAATTAATCAACGACGCGCCGACATGGACCAGCATGGTCCTCCTCTCCCCACCCGCCATCGAAGAGCTGAGATTCTAGATCCAAGAGTTCGACCGTTTCAACGGTGCCCCGTTCCATGTGTGGCACAGCTACGATGCAGTCATCCACGTAGACGCAAGTGCCCACAGCTGGGGTGCCACGCTGAACACATTCCCTGGAGCCGCGACAAAGGCCAACGCGGCAATGCCCGAAGCCCTTCATCCAACCTCCAGCACACAAAGAGAGCTCGCCGGCGTGCTGTGGGCGCTACAGACGCATGCGCCTAGAATCCGGAACAAACACGTGCTAGTGCGGGTGGACAACCAGGGCGTGTTCTTCATCCTTCGCAAAGGAGGTTCCCCAAGTCCCGACCTCACCACCACGTGCAAAGACATCATCCAAAAATGCATGGAGTTCGAGATTCGGCTAATCATCAAATGGATCCCACGCGATCTGAATGGTCGAGCAGACGAGCTCTCCAAGCTAGTCGATCATGATGACTACTCGTTGAAGCTCCCATGGTTTCACCTCCTCGAGCGTCGCTGGGGGCCCCACTCCATTAACCTATTCGCCAACCCCCAAAATGCACACTTGCCGCGTTTCTGCTCTAAGGTCCCCCACCCCGATGCCACAGCAGCCCTTCTCACTTGCCTGGACGGCTGAGAACAGCTTTGCATTCCCACCGCCTCAACTCATCCCCGCAGTACTCCATCACGCACAACGCACGAGTGCATCTCTCACCCTCATAGTCCCACACTGGCCTGGCGCAAGCTGGTGGCCGCTCCTCCAGCCCTCCCCTCCATCGTGGGACCCACACATCCAAGCACATATCCCTCGTACACACGGCAGCCAGTGTCTTACAGTCGGCACACACAGTCAAGCATTCTCAGGCACAGGATTACCCAACAGCACTATCGTCGCACTCCGCATGATATTTGACTAACTAGACTCCTCTGCATGTCCCCAGATCTGCTTCCAAAGCTCCAACACGACCTGCTTTCCATGCTCGCCCGCTCTCGTGCCAACTCGACCATCCGAACATATGAGCCTTACTGGGTGAAGTTCCGCGCCTTCTGCACGAAGGTCAACCTAACGTTCTTGCCGGCATCGGACATGACCCTCGCGCTCTACCTGGTGTACGTCATCCAACTTAAGGCCCCCTTGTCGGTGGTTCAGCTTACATGCTCCACCGTGAGCTTTCCCTACAGGATGACAAGCTCAACATGCCCAACCACCGGCCCTTTCACCTCCCAAGTGCGCGACTTTGCGAAGCGACACTGCCCGCGTCCTAACAGGATTAAAGAGCCAATCTCACTCCATCAGGTCCACGATATGGCAGCCTCCTTCCTACATTCAAACAACCCAGCCGCGTTCCAAAAAGGATTGATCCCGATTCTCATGTACGCCGGTTTTCTGCGCTACTCGGACCTGGTGGCCATCCAATGGCAGGACATCCAATTTAAAGATGAAGCGATGTGGCTACTCATCCCCCACTCAAAAACTGACCAAGCCGGCCAAGGCACATGGATCCCTATCGCAGCAAGCCCCGGACCCTTTTGTCCGGTCTAGGGCACCCAGAGGCTCATCCAACTCGCAGGATACAGCCCCCAGTCCTTGGGACCGCTCATCCGGGTCTTTGGACCCCACCTACCGAGCCACGGCACAGCCAGACCGCCCTCATACACCACAATCCGCAACTGGTGCAAGGAAGCCTTCGCAAAAATCGGTTTGGGAGAAGAGCACCTAGGCACCCACTCCTTTCGGAAAGGTGCGGCCACAGTTGCTGCCAACTCCGGGGTTCCTGACAGGATCTTCAAATGCCTGGGCCGTTGGCGTAGTGAAACCGCGAAAGAGATGTACGTCACGCCTGCGACCGATCATCTGGTTGGCGCGTCTCGTCGCCTGCAAGACCCGGAGACGGCACCATCCTCTGCACAACACGCCGAGGCACTTCTCCGCCACCGCAAGCCCCCACTGCACATGTTTCAACGACCCCACTTGAAATGAGAACGATGCCTATTGCAAAGGACAAGAAAGCAAGCTTTCTCAATGTTATAATCTTTTAACACACGCAGTGTTTTTCAAAAATTGTGTATTGTGAAAGCGAAGCTGATTGTACTGAAGCGTTGGGCATCGTCGAAACGAGCTACTCGCCCTTCTCCAACTATATATACGTGGGTTGGAGCTCATTTTACCTCCACCCACGTCTCTCATTTTTCAAACGGCTCAGTCAAATTTCGCACCCACCCCCCCCTCTGGACAACCGCGCATCTCCAATGGAGCGCACAACTAGGATCATGATGTGTGCATGTTTAGATTCTTATAAGCTAGTAAGCGACTATTGTACCTAGCCCACTTGAAATGAGAACGATGCCTATTGCAAAGGACAAGAAAGCAAGCTTTCTCAATATATAATTTAACAGACTAATCTCGACCGTCAACACATCAATCCTACGGTCAACCCAGTACCTGAGCCGACGATCGAGCCATCAAAGATTCTCGCTCATCGTGTACGAGGGCCATCGAGATACGGCAGCCGTTGATTTCCTTGTACGATCGCACGGCTGACGATGATCTTTGGGTCCCCGCAGCTATGCTCGGCGAACACAAAGTCGTCCGGGACTATTTACACCGACGACGTGTCCCGGATGTCAGAAACACAGTCACTAACCACTGGGTTAAAAGGGCTTGTTAATAGCGGGTCAGTGCGCCCATAGCCCCCCAGGCTCTGCACCTATGGCCCTTCCCCGAGGATCTCAAGGGCAACCCCAGCGGGTCACTCGACACCAGATGTGGGTAGTCTCATCTCGGAAGGGGGGTGGTGTAAGGGAATTTCCTTTTCCTTACTGGGCTCGATTACAACGCGTACGCCCTCGACTCTCAGAAGATGTAATTTTTTGAAAGCGTGTAGCGCTTTCTAAAAATGTGTATTGTGATAGTGTAGCAAGAGCCAACGCAGCAAAGGCAGCGGCGAAGCGCACCTAACCCTCTTTTGCATTCAAAAGAGGAACGTGAGGCCTCTCGGCCTCACCCACGTTCTTCATTTCTAGTTCAACTCATTTGAGTTTCCCTCATTTGAGATCCTAGTTCTTGTTTTTTGTTCTCGTCTAACCTGGCGAAAACTCAGTCACTTCCACGCTTCAGGGCACCATCGACATTACTAACCGACATTTTGCAGCATAACCTATCGGCAATGACTCCCGCCAATTGTGCACCAACTCGCGAGGCAAACACCCCCGCAAATATCGGTGATCCCGGAACTTCGGACCGGGTAACCGACCGTCGCCAAAAACGCCCTGCTGAGAACAATTTTGGCGAGGGGACCTCGGGTGTCGATGTTCTGCTCGGCGCAACTCATGCCACCCAAGAAGAAACACGCGCGACTGCCAAGCAGCCGCGCGTGCAGTCAGCCGAGCTCCACACGCCGAGCCGCGCCGCTCGGCACGTGCCTCTTGTTCGGCACGTGCCTGCCGAGGAGCTCGCCCCACCCGCCGCCGCCCCCCGCTTTGACTGCGCAGCAGCTCAAGGCGCTTTTCGCGCTGTTACAGCAGCAGGCGCCTGTTACGCTCGCCACTTCTTCCGACAATATCAATGCTGCTACGACTAACTTGGCCAAGAAAAAAGAGATGGCAATGCCTCCTCGCACCCCAAAGGGCCCCGCGCATCAACGACCAGCCCCCAGAGACGCTCCCGATGCCCGCCATCGACATCGAAAGACAGCGACGACTTCGACAATGAAGATGGTGACGGCTCCGATAAACATTGATCAGGCAGAGGTATTCACGGCCATCCAAGCACACCTCAAGGACATCGATTACAAGCTGCAGCACGACGACGTCATCGGCGCACTCAACAACGTCAAGCACATCGAGATGCTTATCGACAAGCGTTTCGAGGTGCTTCAAGTGGCGGACGAAGCTGGCTTCGAAGCGGCCGACCGCTTTCAGCTCTACCAGTCCAAGAGTGTCTTGACCTCACGCTCCTTCAAGCTCGCGGTCGCTGATGTCGCGGCACTCAAGCGTGTGCGCACCGGGCTACACCCGCGGCGGTCCCCCCCCGTGGTCGCGACGGGGAAATGGACATCAAGGGCTCTCCGACCCTCACATGCTCGCAGCCGCGTTTCAAGGACGTATGCTTCCGCTGTGGCCAGCCGGGCCACATGGTAAACGCTTGCCCCATGGGCGGGGCGTGGCGCGCAAGGCCCCTCACCGGTCATATGAGCGTTCTCTTATTTTTCTTCAAGGGCGGCACCCTTTGCCCATATGCAAGTGGCATATGGGGGCCGCACCGGTGGGTGCGTGGCCGGTGGCCAGCCTTCGAGAAAGGCAACGAAACCCAGCGGGCTAGAACTGCCCTAGGGGTTGCGTAGGCCGTGTGCCTAGGACCATGGTAGAACCATGTAATTGTGTTTGTGTGTCGCCACGGCAAGTTGACTTCTAGTTGGAAAAAAAAAAAAAAAAAAAAAAAAAAAAAAAAAAAAAAAAAAAAAAAAAACCGAGTACGCTTGAGAAGGGGGCTGGAAAGCCAAGCCACATGAGAACACATCGAAGCAGCCACCATATGCATGTAAGGAGGCAAAAAAAAAAAAAAAAAAAAAAAAAAAAAAAAAAGATGTTAGGGTTGGAGTATGATAGATTATATAGCGAAAAGTACCCAAAACATTTGATTTTCCACACTGAAAAAAAATGCCGACGAATATGCCCACCAGAAGGGAAGTACGAAGAGAGGATAGCGGGCCCACCGATCACCAAGGGCCCCGACAAGGACCAAGGACATGGCACAAAATCATGAGGCAAGACAAAGGAGCCGCGAAAAAACGGAGAAGGAGAGAGTGAGAGGGAGCGAGAAGAAGAGAGAGAGAGAGAAGAGAGAGAGAGAGAGAGAGAGAGAGAGAGAGAGAGAGAGAGAGAGGAGAGAGAGAGAAGAGATAGAGAGAGAAAGTGAGAGAGCAGAGAAGAGAGAGAGAGAGAACATGAGAGGGAGAGAAAGAGAGGGAGAGAGAGAGAGAGAGAGAGAGAGAGAGAGAGGAGAGAGAGAGAGAGAGAGAGAGAAAGAGAGAGAGAGAGAGGAGAGAGAGAGAGAGAGAGAGAGAGAGAGAGAGAGAGGAGAAAAGAGAGGAGAGAGAGAGAGAGAGAGAGAGAGAGAGAGAGAAAGAGAGAGAGGAGAGAGAGAGAGAGAGAGAGAGAGAGAGAAAGAGGAGGGAGAGAGAGAGAGAGAGAGAGAGAGAGAGAGAGAGAGAGAGAGAGAGAGAAAGGAGAAGAGAGAGAAGAGGAGAGAGAGAGAGAGAGAGGAGAGAGAAGAGAGAGAAAGAGGGAGAGAGAAAGAAAAAGAGAGCAAGTGTGTGTGTAAGAGAAAGATGAGAAGAGAGGAAGGGGTAAGACGGAGAGGAAAAAAGAGCACGAGGAGGAAACCACGCACATCGGGAAGGACACGCGGAAGCACCTCCTAAGATAAGGCGCTGGCCTAGCATGTGGTAGGCAACACACGACCATGGGCTGCCCGATTCGGCACCAACACCTTATTGCAATGCCCTCTCCCCTCTCGACCCGAAACGCTGCAGGACCCGAACACGGATGGGCCACTTGACCGACACGACCCCTACGAATACGCCGTCACGGACAAGGACGTCACGATCCTGCAAAGCCGACTGCGCCAGGCCCTGCATTGGTGGTGCTCGTGGTGCGATAGCAGTTTCATAATATCTATAATCGCCAAAGGCTATTGGCTGCCCTGGAAGCACACAGCCCCGCCTCCTTCGACGACAAGAACCATGCCGGCGTTCACACGCACCTGACTTCACTCGCGAAGCAATTCAAGAACTTGTTGCCACTGGCTCTGCCATGCCAGTCCCCACGCGAGACACGCTGACCTGCGTTAGTCCTCTGAACGTCGTTGAGCAGCGTAACAAATGTCGCCTCATTCTCGACCTTCGTAAAGTCAACGCCCACCTCGAAATTCCAAAGTTCAAGTATGAAGGCTTGAACCGGGTAGCCGAACTCATCCGTCCCGGCGACTGGATGTTCTCCATCGACCTGAAGTCCGGCTATCACCATGTCGAGATGCACCCCTCCTCCTGGAAGTACTTGGGCTTCCAATTTGAGGGCGCGTACTACTCCTTCCGCTCGCTGCCGTTTGGTCTCGCCACCGCCCCGTTCGTTTTCACCCAGCTAATCAAACAGTTGGCAAAGCGGTGGAGGGCCAGCGGCCTACGCGTCGTCCCGTACGTTGACGACCTCCTATTCCTTTGCAACTCTCATACACACGCGCGCTCAGCATGTGCCACAGTTACCCAAGACCTAAAGGCGGCTGGTTTTGTTATCAACGAGAAAAAATCGCATCTCCACCCCACGCGCCTGATCCACTTCCTCGGCCTGGAGGTCGACGCAGTTCGCGGCAAATTCTCTATCGGTCACGAATGACGAGCTCAGCTCCTAGCCACACTCACCGACATCATCGCCCAGGGCCAAGCAGGACGACGAGTCCCCATCCGCTCCCTTGCGCGAGTCACTGGCATGCTGGCCTCCATGACCCTAGCATTGGGCGCCACAGCACGAGCCTTCAGTCATGAGCTCCTGCAACTCATCGCCGACGCCACGTCTTGGCATGACAAAGTCAAACTACATCCGCCCGCATTAACAGAGCTACGCTTCTGGCTTTCGCACTTCGACCAATTCAACAGCGCCCCATTCCATCTTAGTCACCAATACGACGCTGTCATCCACGTTGACGCAAGTGCCCACAGCTGGGGTGCCACCCTCACTCAACTGCCTGGCACGCACATCGAGGCCAGCGATCGCATGCCAAAAGAGCTCATGCCCACCTCCAGCACTAGAAGGGAGCTCGAAGGCGTCCTTTGGGCACTCCGGACATTCACCACCCACCTCGTCAAGCGTCACGTGCTCGTTCGCGTCGACAACCAAGGGGTGGTGTTCATCCTTCGTAAGGGCGGCTCACGCCACCCCTCACTCACGCTGCTATGTCAAGCGATCATTAGACTGTGCTTGGAAAACCAGACACGACTCGCTGTCGAATGGATTCCGAGAGAATTGAATGCCCACGCGGATGAGCTCTCGAAAGTCCAAGACTACGACAACTACTCTCTTCAAACCCCTTGGTTCCGGCTCTTGGATCGTCGACTTGGACCTCACTCCATCGATCTTTTTGCCAACGTACGCAACGCCCAGCTGCAGCGTTTCTGTTCCAAGATCCCCCATCCTAAGGCAACAGCGATTGACGCCTTCTCACTCAATTGGCAGCACGAGTACGGCTTCGCATTTCCCCCGCCCCACCTCATTCCAGCCACCCTGCGACACGCCCAACGCACACACGCTGAGCTAACATTGGTCATCCCCGAATGGCCCGGCGCATCATGGTGGCCACTCCTCCAGCTAGCACCCCGTGTGTGGGCGCCGGAGATAGTAGCCCATATCCCACTCACCCACGGCACCCAATGTCTCCGCCCTGGCACACACTCGCTCGCTTTCGCCGGCAAAGGCCTGCCTCATAGCCAGATGATTGCCTTGCATGTAACCTACAAGATATAACTCCTCCATGCATGGTGTATATTTTCAGGCATGCTGTCGAAGTTAAAGACACAATTACTGCGCATAACCACCCACGTCCGGGCGCCCTCCACGATCAAGACCTATGACCCGTACTGGCAGAAATTTCGCTCATTCTGCGCGAAATTCAAGCTCGGCTATCTGCCAGCCACGGACACGACCCTGGCTCTCTATCTTGTTCACGCGCTCAACCACCAAGCAACCGCCTCTGCCATATCCCTCACATGCTCTGCCATCTCTTTCGCACACCGGATGACTGGCGAACCCTCCCCCACGAACGGCCCTTTCACGGTACAAGTATGCGAATTTGCCAAGCGCCATGGGGCACGCCCCACAAGGAATAAGGAACCCTTGTCACTCCACCAAGTCCATACTATGGCCCGTCCCTTCCTCGAATCAACTAACCCGGCTACATACCAGAAGGGTCTCATCCCGCTGCTCATGTTCGCAGCATTTCTACGCTACTCAGACCTCGTCAGCATCCAGTGGAATGACATACAGTTCGAGGACAAGGCAATGTGGGTCCTGATCCCACACTCCAAGACGGATTAGGAAGGCAAAGGCACCTGGGTCCCCATTGCCGCCACAACCACACCCTATTGCCCCGTCAGCTGCACGCGGCGCTTCATTCACCTTGCAGGCCACAGCGCCACCCCACACGGGCCTCTGATTCGCGTCTTCGCGACCAGAGGCAAGGCCACCCCACGGGACGCCGCACCTTCATACACAACCATTCGGAATTGGTGTCTGGAAGCCTTCGCCGCAGCAAGCCTCGACCCCACCAATCTCGGCACCCACTCTTTCCGCAAGGGCGCCGCGACCGCAGCGGCCAGCCTAGGGATACCTGACAGGCTTTTCAAGCGTCTAGGCCGATGGCGCAGCGACAGTGCGAAGGAGCTATACGTCACTATCGCGCAAGACCACCTTCTTGCAGCCTCCACGCAGCTTCAAGATCCATCCGCAGCCCCATCGCCCAACAACCACCAGCTGTCCATCGAGCGGCAACGCCGACCCGTCCTCCACATGCCTCAGAAGACCCATATGAAATGAAGCACGCTGCCTTTCAAGAGGACCTAAGCTAGCTTTCACAATATGTAATTTTTTGAAAGCGTGTAGCGCTTTCTAGAAATGTGTATTGTGCTAGTGTAGCAAGGGCCAACGCAACAAAGGCAGCGGCGAAGCGCACCTAACCCTCTTTTGCATTCAAAAGAGGAACGTGAGGCCTCTCGGCCTCACCCACGTTCTTCATTTCTAGTTCAACTCATTTGAGTTTCCCCGCCCACCCACCCTAGCTATGTGTTGAGTAGTTTATTGGACGAGAACCAATGTACCGTAATCCCCCGGATATAACACCCGCCGAAATTAAGCACCCCCTGGTGTTATATCCGGGGAGGGTGTTCTATTGAAGAATCCGCAATTATACACCCTCTTTTCGAGGGTTCCAGGAGAGCACCCCCCCCATTACATTCGAACCCTTCTACCCCTAACAATACCTGCAACAAATGCGGTTTTTTTATGCTATTTCATGCTGATTTCGACCAGGACGCAAATGTTGAAATTTTCCGAGGCACTTGACGAGGTTCTCTAGTACTGAAAATGACAAAGTGAAACAAATCTTTGTTAACGTAGAAACGAATGATTACTAGAGGTGGAAACCTAGAACAAATACTAGTTGGTTGTACTCACTAGAAGCATACCTCAGTCTAGCCTATAACTTCTACATAGATAATATGTATAAGTTGACACACCCCCTAGGCTAGACAAGGGGTGAAACTAAACAAGAAGCAAACAGCTCAGGGCGGCACTACTAGTCCAACCACTGAGGCAGGGGTCTGGAGACCAGTCAGCAAGAATACAACCAAAACTGAAGCAAGCCAGGGTGGCACTACTAGTCCAGCCACTGGAGGTAAGGCCACAAGGCCAGTCTGACAAGCATATATAATAGAGAGTACACAATCAGGATCCTAACAGGGGAGCAGCTATAGGAACAAGACCAAGCTGTACACAGTGCCGCTGATGATCTTTAGGCGCAAGCGCCTTAGTAAAGATATCAGCTGTGTTGGCACCTGAGGCCAAGTGAACTACGCGGGCCTGGCGGCGCTGCTGTAGCTCGCGCAGGAGGAAGTACCGCAGCTGGATATGCTTCGCTCTGCCCTCAAGCCGAGGCTCCTGACACAGGAGTATCATGGCCCTGTTGTCAGCGTACAGGACCGGGGCAGAGCTAGGCCGCTCACCTAAGTCTGTGAGCAAGAAGGTCAGCCAGCGGAGCTCCTGTGCCGCCATGGCACCAGCGTAGATCTCAGCCTCACAGCTAGACTGAGCCAGAGACGACGAGCGAGTGGATCTCCAAGAGATAGCACCCGAACCAAGGCTGAAACAGTAGCCCTGCGACGACCTGAGCGTCTCAGCGTCGTCTGCCCAAGAAGCGTCTGTGTGCCCAGTAAGGACCACTGGCCTGCGTCCTCCTAGCACTAACCCCATGCCTGATGTACTAGCAAGATAACGCAAAACCCTCTTAGCGGCAGACCAGTGCTGAGGTCGGTGTCTGCCTGTAGCCACAAAGCGAGCCAGGATGCTGAGAGGGTATGCGAGATCTGGGCGAGTGCAAGTCATCAGGTACATGAGGCAACCCACCAGCTCTGCGTAGGGGCCACTGGGCTCTACTGGCTCCTCAGGAACGGGAGCAGAGAGCCCATGGTCTACGGGTAGAGGTGTGGGCTGTGCGGAGGAGAACTGAAGACCGAACCTCTGAAGGACCTGACGCACCAAGTGTGACTGGGTCAGAGTGATGGTGCGTGCTGCTCTGTCCCTAGAGATCTGCAGGCCAAGATAGCGACGCAGCTCTCCAAGGTCAGTGCAGGTGTGTCTCTTCAGCAGCTCAGCCTTCACAGAGGCCAGTGCGTCCCTGTCAGGAGTAGCGAAGACCAGGTCGTCTACGTAGACAAGGATGTAGAACGGAGTCTGGCCGGAACGCACAAACAGTGAAGGGTCAGCAGAGGACGGAAAGAACTGCAGGTCTGCTAACGTGGCACGTAGCGTGTCGTGCCACTCGCGGGGAGCCTGACGCAGGCCGTAGACCGGGCGCCTGAGAAGCCACTGGGTCCCAGGAGGGAAGGTACCAGTGAAGCCCTGTGGTCGGCGCAGGTAGACCTGCTCGTGTAGGCTGCCCTGAAGAAAGGCAGTAGAGAAGTCGAGAGAGTGAAGCTCGTAGTCACGCTGTGCTGCTACGTGTAGCAGCGCCCGAAGAGTGGTCATCTTCGGGGTCGGGGCGAAGGTCTGGAAGAAGTCAACCCCCTCGCGCTGACTGAAACCTCTGGCCACGTAGCGCGCCTTGAAGACAGGCGGCTCTCCAGGGGGGCGCTTCACCTTGAAGAGCCACCGACCATCGACTACGTTCACCCCAGGCGGGGGAACTGCGTCGACGTAAGTGCCGGTGGATCTCCAAGATGCCATCTCCTGCTCCATGGCAGCTATCCACTGAGAGGCCCAAGGTCCCGAGGTGGCCTCAGCGTAGGTGCGAGGGGTCGGGATGTCGAAGGCGTCTGGGTCACCCTCAGGGACTAACAGCATGGAGCAGAGATGGGGAGCAGCCTCGGAAAGGAAAGCCAGCTCGTACTGCCTGTCCTCTAGGACGTCACTGCCAAGGGCAGGAGCACCCCCGACGGACAGAGGACGGGCAGGGTCAGAGACCAGAGCGGTAGAGTAGTCAAGGCGGCGGGTAGAAGCGAAGTCAGCGACAGCAGCGACAAGCGCGTCAAGGCGCGAGACAGGAACAGCAGGGTCGGTAACAAGAGAGGCAAGGACCCGAGGGACAAGGGGACGAGCAGCACGGAGGTAGTCAGAGAACGGAGGAGGTGCAACAGCAAGGGACGAGGGAGGAGGGGACGGGAGGAGGGAGGACGAGACGAGTGGGAACGGAGCAACATAGGGTGGGTGGGCAGGACAGGAGAGACGGGACGAGCACGGGAGGGACGGCGAGCCCAAACGTGAGACGGAGGGGTAGGGTCAGGGGACAGCGGAGGAGACACAGGAGGGGAACGAGGAGGAAGACGGGCCGGAGACGAGTCTGGCGGCGGGAACACAGGACCGTAGACAGGGAGGTCAGGAGGCGGTGGGGGAGACACCGGCGCGCGGTCCGGGGAGGGAAGGCCGAGCAGGCGGAGAGCGGAAACCGGCGGCGACGGCTGCTGTGGCGGCGACGACGGCTGGGCCGGAACTCTCGGACCAGCAGAGGCAGAACGACCGTCGGCAGAACACTCAACAGCAGCACCCCCAGAACCAACACCCCAAGAG